TTCTCCCATATTACAATTCTGCCCTCCAGTTCAGATAGTCTGTCCTTAGTTTCTTTCAAGCTGTTATGCCAGTCTTCGATAGACTTCTTAGTTTCTTGGTAGTCCCTTTGAACCTGCTTCACGTATTCTATGCTTTCCCTGTTTTCTCCATCAAACACTTCTCCCCTCTTTTTCTGTTCTTCCATTCCACCATCTGTTTTTTCTTGGGTGGTGCTTAGTATTTCTCTAACTATTTTGCATACTTCTAGCTTCAGGTCGTTGATAACTTCATTCCTGAATTGGTCTATGAGGCTCTCTATATGGCGCCTTATGTGTAATGGTGCGGTGTCTGTTATTGCCTGTTTCTCAGAATTGGGGGCCGAGGAGCCTTTCTTGTTGCTGCCTCTTCCCATATTCTCTGTTCCTTATATATGCAAGCTTATATGAGAGGCCTAGCTTCTCTCTCTGTCAGCCACAGCCTGATCGAATTGCGCCGGTTAGGTGTTTCCACTCACTGCTGCACACCAGGCAGCCTACGCGGGGGCCCGCCCCTCCCGGCCTCCGTCAGGCTCTGGGATCTGGGTTGGGCCAGCCTACGGGGTCCGCCGGCAGCGTCACGCAGGCCAGGCACTTTTCACCAATCCCGCCCGAGAGGGGAATGTGTGGCTGGAGTCGCCAGCGCGCCCTGCTCCCACAGGACTGCCCGGGCCCAGAAAGTCCGCTGGAGTCAAACTGTGGTGGAGTGTCAGTTTCTCTCACTCACCTCGCCACAAGTCAGAACATGCCTCCCTGCCTGTCCTGTTTTCGACTCCGTTCACAGACTCCCGTTCTCAGAGTTTCCGTGCGTCTCTCTCCTTGCCGAGCCGACGTAGAGGCAGCCAGCCACCGCGCGGCGGGAAACCCAAATGGCGTGGGGTCCAGCCTCAGCAGCGAGGCTTTTCTGTTCCTGTTTTAGCACCAGGACTGCATTCCAAGTTGGTTTCTCTCAGCCGAGTTCGTTCCTGAGTCAGCAGAGCATAACTCCACCTGCTTATGTCTCTTTAGTCCGCACCATACCTGGCTTCTGAGCCTAGTTTTCAGAGAGCCTCCGGTAGTTGCTGTTATCTGTCCGCCATGTTCTCCCGGAAGTCCTGAAGCTAAGTTTTCAAAGAGAACTTCAAAGTCTTTTACCCTATTTGGTTTCATTCCAGCCTCTCCATCCAATGAACTTGGTTCTGGCAACCCCCTCTGACATCTCATAGATGTTCACAGTGACTTTTCACTTTCTGTGCTTTATTTCTGCTCTGCCAAATACACTGATTTTTTTTTCCACTTCCTATTTTGGATATCAGGTTCAGAAGGTTGAATTATCCACACATCATAGTTTATGGCACACTAAGGGACCCTTTCAAAGTCCTTCACTTTTACTTGTGTATGTGTTTCATTGATCCGAGTTACACTTCCCCTATGCTGTAGCCTTAATCTCTTTCTTTTTTCAGATACTCCTGTATATTGTTTTGTATGTACATTTCTTTTTTTTTTTTTTTTTTTTTTTTTTTGGTACCGAGGATCAAACTCACAACCTTGCACTTACCAGGCAAGCACTTGAGCCACTAAGCTAAATCCCTGGCCCCTGTTTTGTATATTTTTAACTTACATAAATGGTATTGTATTATAGATCTTATTGTTTTTCTTATTTATTTTTTCTTAGTGCTGTTTGTAAACTGTACCTATCTTGCTAGGCTTTTTTTTTTTTTTTTTTTTTTTTTTTTTTTTTTTTTGGTATTAGAAATTGAACTCATGCCCTCATGCTTGCAAGGCAGGCACTGTGCACTGAGCTATATCCCTGGACCTAGTCTTTGTTTCTGAGCAATGCATTGTACTTCTCAGTCTGAATCCAACACATTTAACTTTCCTACTCCTCTGCTAATGGACACTAAATGTTTTATACTGGACTTGTTGGACAAAGCCAGTGTTGAGAACTACCCCTGTCAGTCTCAACAGCTCCTCCTAAATAATACTTGTTTCCTTCATTATTCTGAAATAAAATTCACAGATAATATAAACCACTATGATAGGCTATAGCCGCCACTGATCTCTCCCTTCCAATAATATATATATACATATATATATATTTCCCTCTAATATTTTTTAAAATTTTATTTAAAGAGAAAAAAAAGCAAAACAGGAAAAATGGTAGCAACAATACAGAATTCCAAAAAATAAATAAATAAACACTAAGAAATAACTGGTTGATAAATTACATACTGTCATCTTAAAAATAGTTGTTCAAGTTAAAAAATTAAAGCATACAATATGGACATTCAAACAGCGAGACTACAAACAGTTCTGCTCAACTATCCAACAAAAACTTAGTAATATGGTCATCTATCTTACATACTTACACATACATGCAGTTATATCCTTTACAGCACTTTCTTTTCCTCTCTTTTTTACAATAGCAATTACACATTTTGGGTTTTATTACTCCTACAATTCTTATTCCTTCTGATATTTTGTCTTTGTGTAATTTCCTCTTGAGTGTGGGCTACACTGATTGACTTACTTCTATTGAACAGAATAAGGCAGACATGAGCTGCAGCTCCTAAAATTAGGTTCCAAAAACACTATGGCTTCTATCTTTTAGGAGTTGTTTTGCGCTTTCTCACTTGTCTGCTCTGTTGGGAGCTACCCCCTGCATTGTGAGCTGCCCTTTGCAAAGGACCATATGGCCAAGAACTGAAGAAGGCCTCTGGGAAACCTAAAAAAGTGGAATGTTGCTGACAAATACAAATAATTCTAACTTTAGATACGACTGCAGCCCAAGCCAACTTCCTAACTGCAACAAGAGGGACTTTCTGGGTGCCAGAAGCACCCAGTTAAACTGTGCTCAGACTTGAAACTCACGAAAACTGCAAAAAACGATAAAATTCCCCATTTTTAAATAATGAGGATTGAACTTCAAGGGCCTGTACATTTTAGGCAAGCACTCTACCTCTAAGCCACATGCCCATCTCTTTATATTTTTTATTCTGTGATAGTACTGTATTACAAATAGCTAAATTAGGTAGAGACTGATAGGTAGTTAGGAAGGGACCAGGCTCGGAGTTAAAACAGAGTTGAGGCAAAGCAGGTTTGTGGTCAAGGGCTGAGTTGGTAGAAATGGGCTCCAAGATGAAGACTCGATGGTTAGGCCTGCAAGCCTCCCAAGAGATGGACAGCTCAAAGCTGTACTACAACTAACACCATTTCGGTCAATAAGCCTGAACATTGAATAAACAGGAACAACATAATGAATGCATAGATAGATGATCCTCACTGTATCCCTTCCAGAAATGACTTTGTTCTTCTCCACGTTATATACTATTGCTAAGTACCTTTTTTTTTATTAAATCAGAATTAACTAAGTAACTGTACTTATAATCCTATAGGTTGTAGCTTGACTCAAGATAACTTGCAATGCAATGTTACTGTATAAAAACTTCCCCCAAACCAGGCATGGTGGCACACATCTGTAATTGCTGCACTTGAGAGGCTGAGGCAGGAGAATCACCGTGAGTTCCAAGCCCGAGTGAGGTACATAGTAAGTTCAAGGCCAGGCTGAACTACAAAGTGAGGCCCTATCACAACACATACACAGAAATAAATAAATAATTAAAAAACCCCACCTAGACAAAGAGCCTTAGTGGCAACCTCTGAGAGATTTCTGTTTAAAGAAACTTTTCCTGCTGTTAGCCTCCTTTATCTTTGACTCCATTCTCCAGCATTCTGAGATATGAACTCAGTACATCAAACAGATTGGAATTACTTCCCTGTAACAACAATTATTAAATTGCCCAGACTGATTTTAAATTTGTGACTCTCTTCCTGTAGTCTCCTGAGTACCTGGGATTACAAACCTGTGCCACAATGCCATGCAAGATGCTTGTTACTCAGCAATAAATAATACATATGCCTACTAATCTAATTTGTAAAAAGCATGTCTTAGAGATATAAAGATAAAATGAAGACAATGACGGGGAAGGCTGAGGATGTAGCTTAGTAGTAGATTGCCTGTTTCAGATGCTGTTTGATTGCCAGAACCAACACCACCAACACACACACAAAAGGAGCACAACGTTGTATAACAATATGTTGTGATATGTAAATGCTCAGGTATGACTACACTGAGGGATAGGGTGATTTTAAATTCTTGCAACTACATGTAGAATCATCTTAAACCAGAAGCTACAAATGCAGACTGATTTGGACGCGTTTAACTATTTAAAGGATCACAAATGATGTTACCCGTGGTGACTTTTTTTCCTAAAAAGGACCAAAGCTTTTTGCAAAATTTTAAAAAAGTACAAAATACTAACAATTTTGGAGTAGTAATATCCTAGTAAAGTGACTATACATTTAAAAAGTGGGGGAAAGCTGTGTTTAATGTAACAACAAAGATATGTTCTAGTTTCAGATAATTATAGTTTTCTCTCATGAAATGTCCAGCAAGACATTCAGAAATAGTACTTATTGTTGCGAGGCATCACCTTTTTTGTTGTTTTTTTAAACTGGCGATTGAACCCAGGGCCTTCACACTGAGCTACAGGATATCCTTAGCCCTTTGTGTGTTTGAGACAGGATCTCACAAAGTCTCTAAAATTGTCCAGCCTGGGCTCAAACCCACAGTCCTCCAGTGTTAGGCTCCCCGAGCGCTGGGATCACAGTCCTGTGGGAGTACACCAGCTTTCACCTCTTACATTGTGGGAAATTTACTATCTCTAGTCTTCTAATAGCCACGATTTTCTGCTGATGTTCCAACCAAATCTACCTTTCTAACAAAATTTTAAATCCTGTCATTCTAGGGATACCGTTCGCATGAGAACTAACAATAAAATACATGTCTCCAGGCCCTTTGCCGTTTTCCTTTGTGATTTTCAATCCCTTCTTAGGGATAACGAGCAAAGGGCTCACCGCCCCCGTCCTCCAGGGACCTTTGGGATTCAGCCACTAGGAAGCAAAACGCACTCCATTTACAACAGTGTTGGCCGGATCTGTCCCCGCCCCTCTCCAGCGTCACCGGAAGTGACGCAAGGGAAGTAGTAAAATCAATTAGCCGCGAGTTAGTCCGGCGCAGTAGCCTTGCTGGTTGCTGGGATGGCAGATGAGGAAGAAGATCCTACCGTGAGTGGACACCTGTGTCTCAACCCTGTTTTCATTACTCCCTCAGGCTTAGTAGCAGGGGAGGAATTGAGGTCAGATTTGTTATCGTTAATGAGTTCAGCTGAGAGAGTTCGAGGCTTTGTTTGCTTTCGCCGTGATGAATGACTTATCAAATAATATGTGGGACGTCGGTCGTCAAGCGAGAGTAGAAAAGTGGCTTCTTTCTCTTTCATTTTGGTAGAAATTTGCCACATCCCTTTTGAAACGCCTAGAGAGTCATCATTAGTTATCGTATTTGCTAATGGACTAGAAATCAGGAATCTTGAATTTAAATTCTTGTTTCTCTCTGAGCAAGTTATTTAACTTTGAGCATCAGTTTTTCTTGTCATAAAATAGGATCAGCATAAGTTTTTAGCAACTAGATAAGCAGGTCCTAAGTAAATATTAATTTTACTTAATCCAGGGAGTAAACTAGTTCAGTATTAGATCTTTAACAGTAACACTGTCCAGCAATGAGACCGCATAGTCTGTTTAAAACAACACAGCCTGCCGTGGTGATGTATCACAGCACTCTAGATGAAGGTAGGAGGATCTCATGTTTGAGGACATCCTACGCTACACAGAGAAACTGTCGCAAAAGAAAAAAGAAATCTTGCCTGACTTGGAAATTGGATTAGGTTCTAGAAGATCCCTTTTGTGTTGATTTCATTTTTTTTTTGCTCCTTTAGGCTTTCTACCCTGATATCCACGTTGAAAATGGAAAAAAAGTTAATTATTAAAATGCAGACAATCACTTGACATTTCTATGTGTATATTTTAATTTTTAGTTTGAGGAGGAAAGTGAAGAAATTGGAGGAGGTGCTGAAGGTGGACAGGGTAAAAGAAAGAGACTTTTCTCTAAAGAATGTAAGTTGTATTTGACAATAATTTTATTGTAAATGGTGTAAGCTTTTGGATATATTCTTTTCCAGTAATTTTTTTGTCTGTAGTGACAATATTGTCATACTTATCTATAAAATTCTGTTTAACTTTTGAATCGTACCTAGTAACTATCCCACCCTAACCCTAATAATATAAAATAATAAAACATGGTTAATGTTTTAATTCAGGCCAGAACATACTTGTGTTAACTTTCATGTGTCTTACCTTTTCAGAGTAAAATACAGGGACTTTTTGATTGTAAGTTACAGGTAATAATGGGTCCTGGAAAAAATCCTGAGGAAAGGAAACTAAATTGGGGCTTAGGACAAAGGCAGTAAAAGGAAGATGGTTTATAGTGTGAGGGCTTAACACCTTCCAGAGGTGGTAATGTGCTTGTCTTTTGCCCTCCTGCCTCAGTAGACAGGTGCCATTCTTTTTGGCTTCAGCAGAAAAGGAGAGCTGCTGCTACGGATAGTCTGGGTCAGCCCCTGAACCCATCATGAGACTGCTCTGCATCTCCAGCTCCCTGGTTCTTTACATATAGTTATGGCGGCTGAGTGTTGGAGATACAGCAACACCAATTTCTGAATATGTACCAGATAGTTTACTTAGGGTGAGTAAGCCATGAGCAGTTCCTATATGCTTTTAAAATAGCAGGGTTAGCATATCATTTTTTTAAAACCCATAATCCTTTCCATATAATTTCTCATTTAAGAACTGGCTACTCTTTATTCCATTCCTCTGATTTGATTCATATGTGCTTTGCTATTATATCAGCATGTGAAGCAGATCCCTGCACCAGAGCTTCACAGAATCATACTTGTATTATTTAGTGTGATACTTTACTTAGATTACCATATGTTTGTGATGACAGGAGTTTGGAATGTTCACAGCTTTCTCTTTGTCTTACCAAAACATTCATATATTTTACTGACCAGGATCTGTACTCCTAAACTCTCTTTGAATTTTTTTTTAATATAACACAGAATTTGAAAGCATTCAGTGGCATTTGTTTACCCCCTTTTAGGCCCTTTAACTAAGACAATTTATATTCTTCCTATAAAACAAAAGTTTTCCTTATCCATGAGACACATTTTCCTATTGGTGAGTTCTAAAATGTTACTTATTTTCCTCACAATTTAAAGGAAATAATAGTAAATTTACGATGGAAAATCTTGATAGGCATAATTTTAGCTAAGCGATGAAAGTTAGCATCACCAGTTACACATATTGACATCATGTACCCTGATGTGAGGTGAGAGGGCACATCTCTCAGTGTCCTTTCTAATAATGTGTGACCTCAATCTAAGCATTGGAAAACATCAAAGAAACTCAGATTGGGGACAATCAAAATAACTGACCCGTGTTCTTCAAAAATACCAAAGTTTTGAAAGACAGAGAAAAGCTGATATCACAGTTTGGAGGGAGAAAACGAGGGCACCATGACAACTAAGTAGAGTGGAATCTTTGATAGGAACCTGGAATGTTTGTAAATGCAAGCAAAATTATAGAATCCAAAAGCAAGGAAAGAAATTTTTTCTTCTGTAGTTGTTTTCTTCATCCTGTATCTGGAACTAAAGGTTCTTCTCAGTGTAAAACTTAGGGATACTTCTACGCGGGGCTGACATTCTAGTAACCCCTTTTATTTCTTCCCTAGGCTTGGTCTACTTTCTTCTCTTTTTACTTCTACCAGGTTTTGCTTCTCCTAGATAGGAATCAGTCTTTCTTTTCCCTCCCTCCTTTTCTTCCTTCCTTTTTTCTGTTTTCTTGTTCTTTCCCTCTTTTCCTCCCTCCTCTTTCTTTCTAGTTCATGTTTGTATTTCATAACACATTCATTGTGGGTAGGAGTATATGTGTAGTACATGACACATTTTAATTCTTTTTACACCTCCCCTTCCCTCCATCTCTTTAGAAGTATTGTTATAGTTTCTTCTTTTCTTTCTTTCTTTTTTTTTTTTTTTTTTTTGGTACTGGGGATCGAACTCACAACTGCGCACTTGCAAGTCAGGCACTTATGCCGCTGAGCTAAATCCCCAGCCCTCTTTCTTTCTTTTTTTCTTTCTTTCTTTTTTACTTTCTCTTTTTCTTTATTAACAATTCTTGGGATTGAATCCAGGGTCTTCTCACTGAGCTATATCCACAGCTTGTTATTTTGTTTTGTTTTTTTGAGACAAGGTCTCACTATGTAATTCAAGGTGGTGGTGAAGTCAGAGCAGTCCTCCTGCCTCAGCCTTCAAAATACTGGGAATACAGGCATGGGCCACTATGCCCAGCTTCTTCGTTTTTTAAAAAGTGCAAAAGTTGGGCAGCTCAACGGCATAAGCACCTACCTTGCAAGTGCATGGTCGTGAGTTCAAATCCCCAGTACCAAAAAAAAAAACACCTTGTATACAGTAAATTGTACAAAGCTGAGTGTAGTGTCACACATTTATAATCCCAGCACGCTGGAAGACTGAAGCATGAGAATTGTAAGTCTTGAATCCACCAAGGGCAGTTTAGCACTTTGGTGAGTCCCTGTCTCAAAATTTTATTTTATCTTATTTTGGTACTGGGAATCAAACTCAGGACCTTGTGCTTCCTAGGCATATGCTATGCCACCTGGTCCACCAAAATTAAAAAAAAAGAGATTAGGGATGTAGTTTAGTGTGAGGGTGCTGGGTTCAGTTCCGGAAAGAAGTTCAAGTCGTAAGGAAACAGCTTAATGAATTTTGTATATGTGTACTTGTAATTACTCAGATTGAGATACAGAACATGTTGAACATTTGACAGCACTTACATACTTGAGAATTTCATGTTATAAATCTTCTCCCTAAAAAATGGATTCACACAAGATAATGTGTAAAATTTTCCTATATACACATGCTCCAGTGAAATTTAAGACCTAATTTGGATTTATTGTCCATAAGTTAAGAATCTGTATGGATCTTGTCTGTCCTAAACTACAAAGAAATAAGTACTACTGCTGTTTTCAGAGTAAAGGCTGTTAGAACCAAGTTGGGTGGATTCAAATTCAGGCTCCATCTCTTACTAGCTGTATGACCTTGGATAAGTCAGTTAACTCAGTGGCTCAATTTTCCTTACCTATAGCATGGGAATCATAATAGTATCTGCTTCAAAGGTTTTTTGTGAGGTTAAAACAAAACTTAGCAAAACAAACAAAACTAAACAAGGCAAACCAATGCTTAGCGCTGAGGATATAGCTCAGTGCACAGGGCCTGCCTGGCAAGTGTAAGGTTGTGAGTTCGATATCCGGTACCAAAACACAATACTTAGCATTTAAGGGTGATGCAAGTTTCAGCTATTAGCAGTTATTGTTACCACTCTGCATTAGACTTTCCTTTTTGGCATATTCTGTGCTTCCCTCATATGAAAACAGAAAAGGGTTGCTGGCAGTTGCATTTGAAATGTCAAGATTCTTTGTAGTAAGCCCTCTGCTTTCTCCTTTTGGTTACCCTGTTTGCTCCTATAAGAGGGTAATTGGAGTACTTTCTCTCATGTCCTTTCAGCTGTAATCATATTGAGATTCTTCTGCCTTCTGTTTTCCATGCCCCACTGTCTCACCCCCACGTAAAAAACTCCCAGATAATGCTACGCATTGCTAACTTTGTCTCTGTCAGAGTCTCCTCTTAAAGAGGATTGTGGGGGTTGCTGATAAATAGATAACAGAGATTAGGAAAAGAATATTCATGTTAGGATGCAGTACCTGTGAAGGAAGGGTAGAGGTTTGTTGGAGGATAGTTGATAAGGCTGGTCATAAGGCTGTCATTAAACCTTTTTTTAACATAGTCCATGCTTGGAGACAAAAAATACAACGTAAATATGTTTTAAAACCAGTATTGTCTGTAACTTGGTTCCATTCTAGTTGATATGAAAACAGTGTTGGTGAAATTGTTAAATCTGTTCCCATAAATAAAAGTGATTGTTCTTTCACAGTACGATGCATGATGTATGGATTCGGAGATGACCAGAATCCTTATACTGAGTCAGTGGATATCCTCGAAGACCTTGTCATAGAGTTCATCACTGAAATGGTAAGATTCTTTTGTAACTCTTATTATTTTTTGGAGGATTTGTTTTGTTGTAACCGGCCTTAGTTAATTGAATAAGACTAAAACTTATGGCATTCTTTTGAAATAGATTACCCATTGGGTGCCTATTTTGTGAAAGTTTCTAATTATTATTTATTGTTTTTTTGGTATCAGGGATTGAACTCATGACCCCGCTCTTGCAGGGTAGGCACTTATGCCACTGAGCTAAATCCCTGGCCATAGTTACTATTTATTATTAAGGATAGAGATTGGGTAAATGTATTCCACCCTCTCCTAAGTTTTATTTATAAAGACAACTATAAGATCATTGAACTAAATAATGTTGCTCATAATCTTATTATCAAAAATAAGTTTTTTCCTTCCAATATTTACTTAAAGGTATGTATCCAAGTGCTCCTTCCAAAGAAAACCAGTTAAAAATAACTAGACATAGTAATATAAGCCTATAATCGTAGCACTTTGGAGGCTGAGGCATGAAGGTTGCAAGTTCGAGTCTATCCTGGACTACATAATGAGTTCAAAGCCAGCTGGAAGTGCATAGCAAAACTCTATCTTAATACAAATCAAAGCAACAAACAACAACAAAAAACAGAAGATTTTTTTAAAAAGGAGAATATTGGTAAAGTTGATAACTTTATATGCTTTGTATTCAAAACACCTACGAAACATAAAGAGAAACATTTCTAATCATTTGGTAAATAATGGACAAAGTACATGGATAGAGAGTTTACAAATGACTAGTTATTGTAATTAGAAGAGAAAATCTTCAGCCTCACCAGCAATTAATAAATGTAAATGAAAATAATAAAATACTGATTTTTAAAAATGTAATTTAAACAGGTGGAGGGAGGGGATGGAAATGGAGAGCAAGACGATGTAAAAAGAATTGTTTCATGTATGTGTAGCAGCTCCCCATAATGAATATAAGCATTATGTACTGTAAACATTTACTAATGAAAATTAAAAACATGGAATTTAATGTTTCTTTGTAATAGACTCACAAGGCAATGTCCATCGGAAGACAAGGTCGGGTACAAGTTGAAGATATCGTCTTCTTGATTCGAAAGGACCCAAGGAAGTTTGCTAGGGTTAAAGACTTGCTTACTATGAATGAAGAATTAAAACGAGCTAGAAAGGCATTTGATGAAGCAAACTATGGATCTTGACACTTTTTGTACTTTCTGAAATTTCCTTATCTTCTATGGAAACCATATATAACTTTATTTTCTATAGTAATGTCCTGATATTTACATGAGAGGAAATGCATGTACATGAGAGGAAGAAACAAAATGTTCAGCCTTTATTTTCAGGTATTTGGTTTTTAGAGCATTCGATTTGAGTCTTTAATTGCCTGCCTTTCTGTGACCTGCCTTTATTGAATTACTTACTAGATTTTAATGACTACATATATGTTAAACTGCTTTACAAACCATGCAGTCCCTTCTGACCTGACATCTGAAGAGTAAACTTGAATTTATATGTTAGATGTATTCATGCCATTATAAGCTGTATTCTAGCTATTAAATATGTAAAATCTCAATGGCTTTTTTGAGTATGACAGCTAAGGCATGTGCTTCATGTATTCTGAAGTTTTTAGACAATAGTTGTCTGAGATTATTAAAGATAGTGAACTACTTTGTGTTTCTTTTAAGAAGAGGAATAGGAAACTAAGTTTTTATAATAATGTTTGTGTCTTAAAAGATAATTTGTTTTACTGTCTTTTCTGAAGATAACTTTTTTGTTTTTGAGAAACTTAAGTTTCATGTCAGTGCTTCTGTGTTAAAGCCTTTTTTTATTTAAAAGCTTTTTATCTTGTATCATACTATAGGTATTTTTAAGTTTTAGGACAGTTTATTTTCCCAGATCAAAGATTCGAAAACTAAATGCTTTCAATAGTAGGAACGGCAATGCTTAAATGGCTGATGGCAAGATAAGCATTTGGAGTAGTGTTATATTAACATATTTGTACGTACTTGTTCATTGTGGAAATGTGTACTTATTACAATCATATGTGGCTATAGAAACCCCTTGTAGTTCAGCATATACAGGTTTTAATATTTACTTAGCTTATTACATTAAATTAGTATTGCCTTTAGTTTATTTTTTTTTTTTTTTTTTTTTTTTTTTTTGTCTTTTTCCTTTTTATCGGTACCAGGGATCGAACTCACGACTTCCTGCTTGCAAGGCAGGCGCTTATGCCGCTGAGCTAAATCCCCAGCCCAGCCTTTAGTTTAAAATAAGGATTAAAATTACATTTAAAGAGGTCATTGAATGTTATTTTTTTAAACTGAACTTTTTGTTTCCATGTATAAAAACATTATAAATCTGTTTTGGGAAAATTTTAATTTCGTAATGTACAAATATAAGAAGTAAACTTTGAAAACTTAAACAGATTAATGCTTGAATTTGTCTGTGATTCACAGCCCTTCCAAACCATTATTCCGTTACTGATCATATTAAAATTCTAGCTACTTACTCTTGCTAAAAACTTTAAAAAATAATTACATAAATCAATAATTTTTTTTTCTTTTTCATTTTTATTGGTACTAGGGATCAAACTCACGACCGCCTGCTTGCAAGGCAGGCGCTTATGCCGCTGACCTAAATCCCCAGCCCCATGAATCAATAATTTGATTAAACAACTGGATTGACATTTTTATTTATTAATTTACTTCTTTTTTTTTTGTCTTTTTGAGACAGGATCTTACTATGCAGTTCAGGCTGGCCTTGAGCTCACTTTGTAGTCCAGGCTGGTCTTGAACTTGCAATGATCCTCTTGTCTCAGCCTCTCAAATGCCGGTGTTACAGGAGTGTGCCATCATGCCCAGTGTGGATTGACATTTTTATTTAAAAAAGCAAAAGCCAATTGAAAATCTGCCTGTCTTCTTGCCAGGCATGGTGGTGCATGCCTGTAACTGTAGTGCCTAGAAGACTGACAGGACTTTGAGGCCAGTTTGGGCTATATAGTAACTTTTTTTTTTTTTTTTTGTCTTTTTCGTTTTTATTGGTACCAGGGATCCAACTCACGACTGCCTGCTTGCAAGGCAGGCGCTTATGCTGCTGAGCTAAACCTCCAGCCCCTATAATAGTAACTTTTTTTTGTGTGTGTGTCTTTTTCATTTTTATCGGTACCGGGGATCGAACTCATGACCACCTGCTTGCAAGGCAGGTACTTATGCCGCTGAGCTAAATCCCCAGCCCCCTATATAGTAACTTTTTAAGACTAGCCTGAATTACAAAATGAGACCCTGTCTCAAAAAAACAAAAAAACAAAACTACCTGTCTTCTAAGATAAAAATCAAGAATGTATGGCTGAGGAATGAGGATCATAAATTCAAAGCCAGTCTGACCTACATAGTTAACTTAAGACTGGCCTGGACTACGATAATATATGCGAAACCCTATTTCAAAACAACAACAAAAATTGGAATTGGAATAATGAACAGTCTATATAATATTTTGATTTTGTTAATCAGGGCCTGCCCCAGCCTGAAAAAGCTGCTAGTAACCTGTCATGGTTTATATTTAGACGTCCCCTTAAAAGCTCATAGATGTTGACAAAAAAAAAAAAAAAAAAAACTCATAGATGTGGTTTTTGTGAGGTGATTGGACCATGGATATTTGATCCTGGGATTAAAGGTGTGTGGTGCCGGATCAGTCCACAATTTAGTTTAGCATAGCTCTGGATATAACTGAATGGATTTCCTAAAGACAAGCTCCACCCTGGGAGTGGGTGGCACTAACCATAGGCTTGTAGCCTGAATGGAATGAAAGGGAAAAGGGAGCTTGCTGCTTGCTGCTTCCTGCCTCTCCTGCCATGGCCTGTTTCTCTCCTGCCATACCATGCCGTGGAGCCAGCGGACTAGGGACTGAAACCTCTATAAACTGTGAGCTGAAATAAACCTGTCTTCCTTTAATTTGTGGGTGTTGGATATTTGTGTCAGCAATGAGAAAAGTAAAACAACTGCATTTAGGGGAGTTACACTGGGTGCCATTAATCAATATACTTAGGGGATATTTGTGAGCAGTGACTTGAGTTATGTCTCTCAGTCATTGTGTGTGTCTTACTATTTTTTCTAAATAGTTGTCTATATCGTCACACAATGAATTCATACAAAACAAAGTAGTATAAAACTGATCAAAACAGTAATGAAGCCTTCAAAACCAGATAATAGGGAAATTAACAATGGCTACTGTAATGTCTCTTGTTCTCTTCAAGATGCCTGCCCATACCTTCATGTATGTTGAAATTAAATAATACAAAACAGACTAACACCACTCCAAACAAAGAATAAAAGCATTACTGGATTTCACAGCATGATGGTAGCAAATCAGCAATGAATAACATAATTTTTCTTTTTCTTCAAGGTAGCCATTCATTTTATCATGCATAATACAATTGATTCCCATAAACTGTTTAGGAGAAGTTCTAGGCATGTATAGGCCTCTACATGTACACCCATCCTTTCTGCATTAGAAGGAAAAACAAAACATTACTAGAAAAACAAGAAACAAAAAAGACAAATAACAATAACAAAGAGCCCAAAACAATGATAGGCCTTTACAAAAAGAAGGTAGGAACATAACTAAGGTTGTTATTTTACATAGTGATCTTCAAAAGAGTTCCTTAGATCACCAGACACAAACATGCAAAATTGTTCCAATCCTATGAATGTTAACTGTTTTGTTTCAAGAACTAATGTAATTTATAGTATAATTTGTAGTATAATCATCTTAGCTATCCTAAGTGTGTTTATACAAATTTAGATATTTTTTCTTTTCCCTTCCTTTTTCTCCTTTTCCCCGAGATTTTTTTTTCCATTTGAGTAGATTCTTACCCTTTCACCATATTTATTGAGGATTTTGTATTTCATGTACTCTTAACCATTTCTTACACTAGAGGAGACTATATGGTATTTACACATATGAGTTTGATTTATTTCAATTAGTATAGTTTCAAGTTGCATCCATTTACTTATAAATATCTCAATGTGATCATTCTTTATAGCTGAGTAGTACTCTTGTATAAAAATACCACATCTTTTTTATCCATTCCGCAGATGATGGCCATTTAGGTTGTTTTCAACATCTGGCTATTACAAATTGTGCTGCTATAAACATGGGTGCACATATATCACTGTGGTATGATGTTTTCAGTTCTTCTGGGAATATGCCTAGAAGTGGAACAGCTGGGTCAAATGAGACTTCCAATCTCAGCTTTTTGAGGGACCTCCAGACTAACCTCCACAGTGGTTGTACTAGTCTACACTCCCACCAACAGTACAGAAGAGTTCCTTTTTCCCTGCAGCCTCTCCAACATTTGTTGTTGGTAGTTTTCTTTATCCTGGCCATTCTTTCTGGAATGAGATAGCATCTCAGTGTGGTTTTAATTTGCATGTCTCTAAAGACCAATGATACTATACATTTTTTCATGTATTTATTTGCCATTTGTATTTCTTCATCTGAGAAGTGTGTATTCATCTCAGATGCCTGTTTTTGGATCGGGTCTTTGAATTTTGGGGGTCTGATTTTTTAAAATTCTTTATAGGTTCTAGACAGAAGTCCTTTGTGGGACAGTTGACTAAGATTTTTTTCAAAATTCATGGGTTTTCTTTTTACTTCGTTGAAGATTTGACACACAAAATCTTTCTAATAAGATCCCAGATATTGATTCTGGGAAGTATTTCCCATGCAGTTTGATTTTTGTTCATGAATTCTCTGCCTACCTCTAAGTCTTTAAGATTTCTACCTACTTTGTCTTCCAACAGATTTAGTGTTTCTGTTTTAATATTTAGAACTTTGATCCATTTCCACTTTAGTACATGGTGATGTGTCTTACTATTTTGCTAATGATTTGGAAGAACTTTTCCACAGGACTTCAAAGACTTCAAGGTTGCAAGTGATAGAACTTAGCTCAAAACTAGCATAAGCATTGAAGGAAAGGAATTTATCGGTTTACCTAGCACAATGGCAGAGAAGGGTCAGAGCCTCCTTCAAGGTTGTGTCTTTCCATCCTTTATCCTAATGTTAGTTTTACAACCCTGGGAGTTGTAAAGATCAAGGGAGTTATACTTCTAATTCAGGAAATTCCAAGCAAAACCTATGATCTTCCTGGCTCTGGTGATTTTTTTTAGACCAGACATACTCTGGCCAGGAATAATATGAATTATATCTTTGATCTCAAGCCTCATCTTTGTGATGAAGAAGGGCTTGGAGTGGGTGGGGAAGTTGGATACTGCTAGCATAAAAAGGGAAAAGGGAGGCTGAAAAGTTAAAAATGATAGCTGTACACTGATTGGATTCATGAGTTTACTAACTAAATTCTGATAGGCAATATATCTGTTTTCCAAAATCTAGAGCTGTACTATAATGTAATAGCCACTTAATGGCTATTTAAATATAATTATATAATATTAAAAGTCCATTTCTCATCTGCACTTGATATATGATCTCAGCTAAAATCAACGTGCTGAGAGAATTGTGTTTCCTTGTGGAGGTTTTAGGACAGAACCTGTTGACTTGCCTTTTCCAGTTTCTACAGACTTCAGACTTCATTTTTTGGCTTATAGTCCCCTTCTTCAGTCATCAAAGCTAACAATATTACATTTACATCTCTTTCTTTTGCTGGGGGGTACCAGGAATATGAACTCAGGGCATTGCGCTTGCCAGGCAGGTGCTGCACTCCTGAGCTATATCCCTGGCCAATGTTACGTTTCTGACCTTTTTTTTCTTCTTGGCACTGGGGATTGAATTGAGGGTCACTGTGGCATTGGGCTACATCCATATTTTTATTTATTTTGAGATAGGGTTTCACTAAAGTTTTCATGTTGGCCTCATACTTTCAATCCTTCTGTTTCCCAAATGGTTGGGATTGTACGCATGCACCACCATATCCAGCTTCTCTGATTCTTCTGTGGTTTTGTCTTCCTCGGTGCCTCTGAAGCCACCTGGGACATTCTCTATGATTTCCTAGGACTCACCTGGTGACCAGGCTACCCTCCCTATTCCGAGTAGTTCTTGAAGTTCTTGGGGTAAAAGACTGTGAGAGGACAAGAAAATAGAGAAGAGACAAAAGCTAAGGTCAGGTGGAGCTCTGTCTCCTGATGGGAGCAAAGGAACTGCCTCCTCACTGTAGTGGTGTTTATGTATACATTTAGCAATACAATATCACATGATACTCTTTGCCTAGAAACCCATTGCTTGGATTGTCTAGGGGCTTGGTGTTTTTCTGTGCTGAAGCAGCTTCTAAAGGTGGGTTTCCCCCAGTAATTTTTGTTCTCCACCTGGATCCCACACATGTCATCAATTTCCAGCTTCAAGGGCTTCTTACAATCCACATCAACTAGCATATTCATAAGCTCTGGGAATCAGGACATGGACATCTTTGTGGGGTCATTTCTCTGCCTATGGAAGTTTGAATTAGGATCTAAGCAAAGTATCACTATTACTTTTATTTCACATGTCTACATTTCTTTTAATCTATAATAGTTCCTCTCTAATTGAAGCGCTCTGTAAAATATTACATCGTTTTAAACCATGTTTATTAGATGCTTAGAGTTTAATCTATGAAATCTGAGAATCATATTCAAAGGGATCCACCTTAGCCTATAGGCAATTAAGTCACAAAACACTGAATCATTCTGACATGTTAGAACCTGTACTGTATTTCCAAATGATGTCCAACCTAGTTCCTGACCCACAGTGGGAATTCAACAAGTGTTTAATGACTGAGGCTATTCTTTGGGATCTAAGGACAGTCCTTCATGTAAGAAAGCCTTGTCTTTCTCAACAATTCACTGCTATTGCAGCAACTAGAGTGAAAGACAAGAAGATCTAATCTTAACCACTGTGGCTGAGTATAGAAGGAAAAGTGATATCTTGGCTAACAGCTATTAAGCTTGTAGAATAAAACCTGATGTTACAGTAGGAAGCAAATACAGTCAATGCATTATCAGTGTACAAGTGATATGGTATGACAGATATTTTACTTTTCAGTGCATGTTTTCTCTCCTTCCACTTTCTTTTTTTTCCAGAAATGTAAAGATTATTTGTTTTTAGTATTGCCAAGTATTATTTATTGAAAATTTGGATGCAAATAACAATATGTCATAGAGTATGGGGGACATAAAAAAGACATAATTTTCCCTATCTCATTAGAATAAGATTCACTTCCTTCAGGTTAAACTGTTCAATTGATATAGTACAGTAGAGTGGCTTTAAACAAGAGTCATGAGTTAGAATGGCCAAGCTTGGTAGCATATGTTGGTAATCTGAGCACTGAAGGCTAAGATAATTACTGCATGTTTGAGGCCAGCCTGGGCTACTTAATGAATTCAAGGCCATCCTAGACTAGTCATAGTCAGACCCTATATCAAAATCAAAAAAACAAACAAAAACCCAACCAACCAACCAACCCACCAACAAAACCTCAGAATGGCTAGAATCTTTTTGCTTCATATTAGCTGTGTGATCTTAGGCAAGTTTTTTTTTCCAGAAAACTCTTAAAATATGAATAATTAGTAGGTTCCTTAAGGGAGATTATGAGGCTTAAATGAGAATAGAGGCAAAGCACATCATTTTGTGCTTAATTAAGGAAATAACAAAATCTAGCACCAGATCAGATTCTGCGGTATGTATGTGGGTTGCGGAAGGGTTCATTTTTTTTTTTTTTTTTTTTTTGGTAATGTGTTTTGACTCCAGAGCCCTCACACTGAGTTATACTCTTTTTTATTTTTATTTTGGAATAGTGTCTCCCCAAGTTGTCTAGGCTGGACTCAAACTTGGAATTGTCATCGTGCCTCAGCCTCCACAGCGCAGGCACCTACCCACCAGCAGGCCAAGCTAAATTCTATTGATCTAGTTCTGTGCTCCTAGTAGTGCTCAAATGTTTTATCTCTGATTAGTGTATTTTTCTAGA